CTCAGGCAAATTCAAGCCCCCATCTTTCTTGGCTGTCAGCCAAGTCTTGGCTGTGAGCAGTGTCCTTGGGTGGCTAGGGCCAGCGTCTTATCTTCCGACTGAGCTAGCTGAAATGTTGAGTTAACCCGTTCTTTGCTCTCTTCTTTTTCTCCCCCCCCCGGCCTCTCGTACTTGCAAAGGAAACTTTCACTCCCCACTCACACACCTTTGACCCTCCCCAAAATGCTTTGCGATGCTTGCAACAGCGTTAGCAATATACAATGCTGATCTGCCTTCCCAGGGGACTCCCTGAGGGAGGGGGCTTTGGGGTGTGACAGTGGGCAGGTGGGCTCTAGCTGCCAGGCTTTTTGTGAAATTGACAAAAGAGCTAACAGCCGATCTAAGTAATGCAGTGTCTATACCAGCCTAACTATACCGACATAAGCCCTATACCTCTCACGGAGGTGGAGTTATTATATCAGTGTAGTAGGGCACTTACATCAGTGGGACACGGCTGCCGTGTAGCCACTAATATAATTAGGTCAATGTAAGCTGCCTTATGTGTCAACCTGTGTAGTGTAGACCAGGCCTAAGTAGAGGGGTCCTAAAACTTTTTCATACTGTGGACAACAGTTGTCTTATGGATTCCTTCCCCTCCTATCTGTGATTACATGGATCACCTCACCTGTTATTTACAATCACACAGCATCCCTGTATCAACTGCAGCAGTTGCTTATATGGAAAAGTGATTTAAGGAAAGTATTTCTGTATTTTCAGCTGTCTTTAATGCAAAATGTGTTTAATCTTTTTTGAGAAAACATAATCAGGCTTCCTACTTTGGCTATTCATTTCATTTCCCCTTATATATATATATATCTCCTTGGTTAAGGTTAAGATTCTGTCCTAGGTATTTTTAGTAAAAGTCAGGAACATGTCGCAAGCAATAAACAAAAGTTCACAGAAGCCCATGACTCGTCCCTAACTTTTACTAAAAATACTCATGGGGGGGAGGTGGAAGGGACACAGAGCGCTGCTGGGCTTGCAGCTGCTCCAGTCCCACTGCTGCTCCTGAGACAGGGGCTGACCACTGCTGCTCCAGCCTCAGAGAGGCTGACCCAGCCCTGGCTGCTACTTCTGTGGGCTGGGGACCACTGCTCTGGCGGCAGGCCGACTGCCAGCTATTCTGGTAGCCCTGGGTCTGGCTGCTGGCCAGCTGTTCTGGGCAGGGCTGGCTCTGACTTTCTGGCCGCCCCAAGCAAAAAAACAAAAAACAAAACGGGGTGGCCACCAGAACGGCAAAGGGGGACCGGCGGGGGGGGGGGGGGGGGGGGGGGGGAGCGGGCGGGAGAGAGAAAGAAGGGGGCGGCCAGGGCTACAGCAGGGGCGCTGCCACGCGGCCCCTCCCGCTGCCCCGCCTCCTGCCGCGAGGGCTCCGCTCCGGTCGGCGGGGAGGTAAGGAAGAGGACTGCCTACAGGGCGGCTGGAGCGGAACAAGAACAAACAAACAAACAAAAAAGCGGCCGTGCTGCCCTAGGATTGGGCAGAATGCCGCCTCGAACAGTCTGCCGCCCCAAGCACCAGCTTGCTCAGCTGGTGCCGGCCCTCGTTCTGGGGGCCACTGTTCTGGAAGCCTTGGGGCTGATCACCAGTCAGTTGTTCCAGTGGCCGCTGCTCCAGCAGCCCTGGGACTGACAGCTGCTCCAGCCCTGCCCCAGAAGAAGACACGGACATCCTGCAAAGTCCCAGAATCCATGACAGAATCATATCCTTATTCATGGTCCTTAGTAGAGGCAGCTAGACTTTCCTATTTCCAGTGACTTTTATAGACCCTAAGGATCTTTGCAAGACAGAGCCCAGAGACCTCTAGAAGCAGCGGACAACAAGAAGCCAAGACCATGTGATCAGACAGCTCTTTGCTTGATGACAGCAAGTGCATGTGTATGCGAGCAGAGGAAAGCACACCCCTAGCTCATAGTGTAGAGGAGTAGAGTGCTACACTATGCCTTGTCTCAGCTGCTTGGCATGGGTCAGCAGCTGTCACCCCGTGGGCTGCGTGGCTTGGGCCGGGGCGTGTGAGCAGCTGTCACCCCATGGCTCCTCCCCCACTCAGATTGGGGGGTGGGGACACGACGATGAGCTGGGGACCCTGACAGGTGCAGCCCCCTCCGGTCTCACATCTCATTCTGTTCCCATCCATTTTCCTGCCTCCCACCTCCATATGCCGCAGCATCCACACAGCCACAACAGCAGCGCCAGACCTCGAGCGCCCCATAGCAGTTCCGGAGCTCGCGCCATGGGCCCGCCTAATAACGGCCCCAATAAACCGCCGCCCATACGATCACGTGACACAGGACCCGCGGCGGGGCTCAACAGAAACCGCCTGGCACCTCCTCCCCGCGCCTCTGGAAGGGAGAGGCAGCAGCAGCAGCCGCCGCGTCCCCTCTAGCACACAGGGTCCCTCCTTCTGGTTCAGCCCCAGGCAGCAACAAGGCTTGTTCCGCCGCTTTCACAGGTGCGGCCCACAGGGACTACTCGTCCCATCAAGCATCGCGCAAATTCCGTGCGGCGCCCTGCGGGGAACGGTCGTGCTGCATGCCGGGAAGTGTAGTTCCTGCCGTGAGGAGTCTATGCAGATAAGAGGGCGGGGCTCCAGGCCGGGCAAGGAGGGGGAGTCAGGGGCCGCCAGTGGTTGCGGCGGCCACAGTTGCGGTATTTCCCGGCGTGGAGGAGGCGGGGTCAGGGGAGGCGGGGTTGAGCGCGTCCCTGTGCCGCCTCATGTGTACCCTGCCCGGGGAGCAGGAAAGGAGCCTCCGGCGGCGGCAACCATGTCTGAGAATGGCGCCTCTGCTCCCCCGGTCCCCAACGGCGAGTGCGCCGCGCGGCCGCCCGGCAACAAGGTGACCGTGGTGCTGGGAGCCCAGTGGGGCGACGAGGGCAAGGGCAAGCTGGTGGATCTGCTGGCGCAGGACGCGGACATCGTCTGCAGGTGCCAGGTGAGGAACGGCGCCGGGCTCACCTGGGGGGCGGAAGGGCGGCCTGGCGCGGCGCCGCCGCCGCCTCCTCTTGCCACCCAAGATGTCACCTTGAGCCCGGGTCCCCCTCGCCGCCGCCGAGAGGGGCTGGGGCTGCCCCGCACTCGGTCCTGCCCCCGGGGGCCGCTCCCCAGCATCCCGCTCTCCTTGGCGGCCCGGTCCCGCCGTCACCCCTCGCGGCCCGCTCCCTGCCTCGTGTGTCCCGCCCGGTTGCTAGCTCTCCCGCCGGCCCTTGTACTTCCCTAGCGCCGGGCTGCCCGCCTCTGCCCTATTGTTAGCGCGGGCCCCCGGCTTTCCCCATGCACCGGAAGCGGCGCACATGCTAGTCTGAGCCCCGGCAACGCCTCCAGCCTAAATTCAGGGAAGCGAACGGGCGGGCAGCTCCTGGGTGCTGCGCGCTCCGGGCCCCGCTGTGTGCGCTCGGGGTTGCGCAGCGCAGCCCTCGCTTCATCCATCACTGCTGCTTCCTCGTTTGCTGGGCGGGAGTCTGAGGCAGCACACCCCTGCTGGCCAAGCCAGGCCAGGATCATCTCTGGACGAGAAAGGCTTTACAATTCTAATTCTTCCTTTGTGCATTTTTTGCTTAGAGGGAGGAGGAAGAAGGTGCCTTCTTAGTAGCACAAGGTTGACGTGCAGGGTGTAAAGGAGAGAGGAACATGCTTGGAATCTGTTTTCACGCTGTATATCTTTGCCTTTTTTTTGCATATAAGGTGCTTGAAGATGAAAAGTTTGGAATATTTCCAAGAGCAACTTTACTGAGAGTGGAATGATAATTGGTTAATTGCAATGCAATGAAAATCTAGAATTTTCATCATACCTCCCTGCAGGGCTAAATTTAGTATGAACAGGTTCTACTCCATTTGTTCCTAGACCAGGTATTGGAAATTAGGAGCCATACAATGTGTGGGTTAGTATG